GTTCCCTGCACTAGCGGAGCACAAGGAGCAGGTGAGCTGGCTCTGAAAGCTGTAACAGAGATCTGGCACCACTTCCCTGGGGCCCTAGTCCTACCAAATGGCAATCATTTGAGGGAGTCATGATTCCTTACAGAGACAATGCTCCTCAGTGGTCCTCCTAAAACAAACAAAGTAACCAGCACTCTCCATGTGTCCTCTCTGCTGTGGTCACCTCCACCATCCGTATACTTCACGGGGGTGGAGAGGAATTCTGACAGGTCTCACTACACATGGTTTGTGGACATCCCTGTTAAGAAACAGCCCAGCAGCTAGGCACAGTGGTGCACACCTGTAATCCCTCAGCTCAGGAGGCTGAGGCAGGAGAGTTGCAAGTTCAAAGCCAGTCTCAGCAACTTAGCAAGGCACTTAGCAACTCAGTGAGACCCTGTCTCTAAATAAAATATAAAAAAGGGTTGGGGATGTGGCTCCATGGTTGAGCACCCCTGGGTTCAATCCTCAATATGAAAAGAGAAAAAAAAAAAAAAAAGAAAAAGAAAAAAGAAACAGTTCATCAGAGAGCAACTTGAGGAAGACTGCCAGTCAGGACCTGGCAGCCGAGATAACCCGTTACTCCCACTGAAGGTAGGAAGAGTCCAACATACCAGTGGGTGAGGTAAAAAGGTTGCTTTTCATTATTTTCACACGATGTCCTCACATAGGACAAGGTTTCAACTCCAGACCCAGAGACATAGGAAAGTGCCAGAATGATCTCAGATGAAAGCAGCAAAGGAATAATTCTATTTGTCCCCATCCAGGGTCTCTGGTTTCTCTAGGAGACCAAAACCAGTTTGGAGAATGCTTTGCTTTTCTACTGAACACGAGGGTCCATTCTGAAGCAGAGTGATGCCCTGTGGAGCAGTCAGGCGTCCTTCTGTGATGGATGGTTGGGGCACTCTGCCCAGCCTTGAGTCAGGTGTTACCCAGGCGTCTACCCACGCCCCTGCCCTGGTGACCAGACTGCAGCCTTTCCCAAGCTCTGCATCGCAGGGCTGCACACTCCCGCTGCTTCCCACTGCCAACAGAGCCCGCCATTGAGCATTTTTCCTCTGCACTGCACACAGTTGCTGCTGCCAGGATGAGTCACCGTGCCACACATCCCCCATCCCCTCACTCCGTACTTAAAATACTCCAGGCTGGCTGAAAAGCACCCCACTGTGTGTGAGCACGTGTGTGTGAGCGTGGGATTGGCAGCCCGCCCCTCTGCAGCTCTCTGTAGAGCAACTGCATTGTGTGTGGCAGTGGGGCCCGTGGGGTCAAGGGGGTCAGAGAGCCAACAGCTTGGGAGATCTGTTTGTCAGGTCTGGGTCTCTCTCACGCAGACTGCCAAGTTGCACCCTCTCTTTTGCACCCTAATTTTAGCCTTCCTGGGACCTTATTACTGGGAATGATTTGTCCTGTCTCTTCTCCCAGTCCCATTTCTGACTGGCTGTCTTGCTACTAACAGGACTGCCTTGTCCTGCTTTCATCCACTGGACCCTGGCTCTGCCTCCAAGAGGTTCTGTTTCAACCACAATAGTTTCTGGTTGTTTTCTGTGTTAGAACCTATCATCCTCACTTGGACAGAGGTCCATAACCCCCTTCTACTCTCTGCTGCCATTTCTGCTTCCTGCCTCTCCTCCATCCACCCACACACAGCATTAACCTTGGGGAGAGCCAATCACAGGACTCCAGAACCATCTCTTCCCTAGCCTGCACAGAAAAATATCCTGAGCCTTTAAACTGAATTTTCTCCTCCTTTGTTCTGCAGAGAAACATTGCACTTCACAAACTCGTATTAAACAGCTTCTTAGCTCCTAGGACCTACACCTCCTTCCACACCCAGCTACACACCTCACCTGCCAGAGGCACCCCCTTTCTCCTGAGAACCACACAATTTTTGCTTTCAACCTGCTGCCACAGCACCCTTCACAGAAGGGGCCTTGGAACAAAAGCCCAGCCCAGTACAGCCCAAAGGGACATTATGTGCTTGAGTTATTCATTACTGGAGTTAGAGAGGTCACAGAACAGGAAGCACGTTGTGAAGCAAGGGGAAAGGTGGCATGGAGGGTGGGGAATTGTCAGGGTGACCTTCTACTAGCTTGATGGGAACTCCAGAATCCTGGCAGGGGGTAAGTATCAGAGAGGTGGTAAATTCATTGCAACAGCCCCAAGGTTAGACAAGGTCAAGTGGAAACAGGGAATTATAACTAAGCTAGCTACTTAATAGCTCTTGTTATGGACCAGGCACTGTGCTTAGCACTTTCCCACGTCTCCCATTTCATCCTTGCTACCATGTATCACTCCAGTTTTACCACTGAGGGGACAGCCCTAAAGAGAACAAATGATTTGCCCAAGGTCACACAGCTAGCACACACTGGAGCTGGAATGTGGACACAGGCTGTTTGGCTCTTCCCCAGAGGGTACCATGTGGTGAGGAGGTTGGATGGGTGGGACAATTCCAGATACAGTGGCCAGCCAGGTGGAGTTGGAGGTGAGCCACTGAGAGGTCTCTGCTTCCCACAGGGCTGAGATCATGTTCTCCACTAGTAATACCCGGCTGGGGTGGAAACACAGAGGTTTCTAGGAAGCCAAGGGGACAGTGGTTTAGAATGGTATGCTGCACCGGCTCTGCAGGCATGACTCTCAGGGCTCTGTCAAAACCTGGGGAGAGTTACATGCACGGAGGGAGAGAAAGCAAAGCCAGGGAACCAAAAATTAAGAGGGGGAGATATCTGCCAGAGGAAGACAGTAGGTCAAGGACGGGAGAGAAAGCCAAGAAGCCTGTCTTTGCCAGACACAGCATCAGACTTCAGCCCTGGAGAGCTAAGGTAGGGCACTTTCTATGTAAGAAAAAAAGGGATCCTGATGAAAAATTGATCACTGTGAACCTCTCAGTATATACTTTGTTTTACCACAAGCTTCTCCTGGAGGGGGGGGGGGTCAGGGGGGCATAGGAAGGGCAACCTCCCCTCAGTCACCTCCCTCCTTCCCACACCACCTTCCCTCATTCACCCTTTCTTGCTGGTTCTGCCCACAGGGTTTACTCCCTCTTCCTATAGTGGACACTCAACAAACACATGCCCTTCACAGCGACCTGTTCTGCTGGAAACTCCTCTATGAGCTAACTCCTGCCTGGAGGGGGACCAGGGGCACCACATCTGCAGGTGCAGCCTCTTACTCTAGTTCTCCTACCACCAACCACAACTTGGGGCTTTGCCAACATAAACACTGCAGAGGCAAAGTAGGGGATGGCTTCCTTTCCCAACAGGCCATTCTCAGTCACCCTTGACAGAGCCCCACAGCAGCCCCTCTGGGGTTGTATGAGTAGGTGGGTGCTTCTCCCCTGAATTTCAGGAATTTTCAAGTTTGCTCAGGTCTTCCAAGTGGGCCTTGAGAAAGATGAGTGAGAAAGAGCTCATTTTGTCAAGCTTGTCCAGAGGCCTGCAAGGTTGACCTTGGGGACAACCTTGGGTGGCCTGAACAAACATCTCTGTATTGGGTAAATCCTTGATATGGGGCTGGGAAGTCCCCTTTTCCAGGATGGGCCATGCTCCTCTCTTGGGATGGGGCTTCTCTGCAGTGACTGCAGAAGCATCCCTCATTTTTCTGCTGTGTCACTGCCCTGAGAATGATGTGTGAAGCTGCTCAGAGGCTCAGTGGAGGGGAATGGAAACAGGAGTTTGGCTTTTAAGCAACTGCAGATACAGGATGGGAAGGGGTACTCCATGCCCAGGGCTGCTCTGCAACGCTCTGCCATTTGACCTGGGTTTTCCCAAATGCACTTTGGCTCCAAAAATTTTACAGCTCAGCAAAGAGGTCGGTACCCCCAAGGGGCACCCCTAAGGGGGAGTGAAAGCATGCCAATTAGAATACCAGCCACCGACCTGGCAGGAGAGTCCTGGGTGGCAGGTCACGTGCAGGAGGAGAGTCCTGGGTGGCCAGTCACGTGCAGACATTGTCCCCCGGGGTCTAGGATGGCCTGAGCCACAACCGGTTTCGATAGGACGACTCACTCCAGGCTACCGCCCTGAGTGGGTTTGGCAATTGTCCTGCTCGAGGTGGTTCAGGCCGCCCACAAGAAGCACAGCCTAGGAGTAAGGAACTGGGGCTACCGGCTGGGTTGGCCTGGAAGGAGAGGGACGGGCCGGAACTGCGACCGCAGTGGTAGGGAGCGCGAGGGGGCGGCAGGTGCAAGAGCTGAGAGGCAGGCGGGGCGGAGCTGGGCAGAGTCACGGGCGTCCCGGAGTGACCTTCCCCCACACAGCCAGGGCCTAGGAGAGGTGGACCTACAGTTAGGGGAGACCGAGAGCGCGCGGGTGAGAGCAGGCGGGAGGAAGGGCTGGGTCACCACAGTGGGCCCGGGGTTCCCGGCATCCTCCGGGCTCCAAGCGACTCAGGTGCAGGTTATTCCACCACCTAGGGCGGTGAGCGCCCAGCCAGGAGCGGGGAGGGGGCTGCGCGGCCGCAGGAGCCCTCCTCTCGCTCCCTCCGCCTTTCTCCGCGCCCCCGCTCCCCAGCCGGCCCCTTCTTGCTCCTTTGTGCCAGCCCGGCGCCCGCCCCTTCGAGACTCAGGCCCCGCCCCTCCGCGCCACGATTGGCCACTCGGGCCGCCAGTGGGCGGGGCCCCAGGCCGCGGAGGCGCGGTATATAGTAAAGGTAGGGCGTGCGCCGCAGCCAATTTCTCGGCTCGTGGCCGGCGCGCTAGTGCCGGTCCCGCAGTCCGCCGGTGCGCCCTTTCCATTGGCTTCCGCCTGCCCCTGACTGTCTCTGCAGAGGTCACAGGAGGCGGGGGTCCCTCTCGTCCCCAGTGGCAGAGGGAGCGGCAACCGGGTTCGTGAAGCCCCTGCGCCCCCAAGGGCGAGAGGAGTGCGTGGCGGACCGGAGAGCCGGCGAGCGGTGCGCGCCCCCCATAGGTGCGGGCTCGGAGCCGCCCAGCCGCGCGTCCCACCCTCCTCCTCCGCCCCCGCCGCCTCCCCTCCTCCCGCTCCTGCCTCCGCTCCTCCACCGCGCGTCTAGCACTCAGAGAGCCGCAGCGGCAGCGGCGCGTCGAGCCTGCGGAGAGCCGGGCCCGGGCGCCGAGTGGCAGCCGGAGAGGACACCAGGGCGCACGCCGCAGTCACCCATCCGCAGCCTCCGGCGCGGCTGACCCGCCACCATGGCCCGCGGAAAAGCCAAGGAAGAGGGCAGCTGGAAGAAATTCATCTGGAACTCGGAGAAGAAGGAGTTTCTGGGCAGGACCGGTGGCAGTTGGTGTAAGTACGGGATCTGTAGCTCGCGTCCTCAGCTCCTTGTCTTCCCTGGGCGGCGCGTCCCCTGCGCAGGCCCTGCGGACAGTTCCGCACCCACCGTGCTGGCCAGGGTGGAGAGGCATCGGGTAGGAGGTGCTCCTCTCATCACGCCAGCCTGGGCTTGTCATCCTGTGAGAAATGCGGAGTCCCGACTAGGCAGAGGGTTATATGTACATGTCGCGATCTTGTCTTGGTAATTTGTAGTGCATCTTACCGATATCGCTTGAGCCATTCCCTCCTGGGAATGGTCAGGCTCCGGAGACTGGCTATGCCTCTCCCCGGAGCCATAGCCCAAGTCCTTAAGAAAACGAGATTTGGGTTTGAGAGGAAAATCATGATGTAATCGTATCTAATGCAGGTGAAGTTGTATGTTGTAGCATCCTTTTTTTTTCTAGTCCAAATATATGCTTAGGAAGAAGGGGAATGGAGAGGGGAAGAAGAATCCATCCATACCGCAGTATTTCATGATCATAGCCCTGGTTTTCCCCGTGACCTCTACCAGAGTCAGCACAGGCCAGAAATGGCCCAGTAATCTGCATGTCAGGAGCATCTAAGCCTTGACTGGAAAGAGAGCAAAGTCTGGGATTTTTAAGGTCTGTACAGACAGATGCAGACCAGCAGCTTGGGTTTGATTACAGTAAAGGGTCAATGTAAGAAATGCATAGCACAAATGGAGAAACAGCTCATCTTACAGGATTTTGTGCAGCCTGTTGCTTCATTGGATGGACCCCCTCCCCCAGCCATTGAAAATTAGATACCTTACTTGTTTTTGCCTCTCTGCACCCAAAGGCTGTCAATTTTTTAGAAAGGTCATTTTGAAGGGCAGAGTTGTAGGTACGTGTATGAGTCGTGACTGCAGAAGGGAGGGAGGGACCCCCCTGCAGCATCACTGCTCCCTTCTCCTTCTCTGGTGTCTTCATCATCATCATCACCACCACAAACACCTCTGCACACCACTGCAGTCACTAAGGCAGCCCTGAAAGGGGCTGTTGCAGTGCTCTCGTTCGGGAGGATCTGTGGGAATCTGCAGGAGAATGAGTCAGGGAAATAGTACTTGGCTGACATTTTGAAATGGAAGAATCTGGAGTATATGATTTTTGTAAAGAAAAAAGAATACAGCCTTCAGTGAGTCTGCCTTGACTGAAAGTGAAGGGTTAAAAATGCATCATACTTCAAGGTTAGTCAAGGTGAAACCTCATTCTGAAGAACAGGGAAGCACAGGTGTTCCTGAGCCATGCAAAATGCAGCTCACTGAAGTAATGGCTTCTTATTTCCTTTTATATTTTAGTTTATTTTGTGGAGACTGTTCTTCACTGGGCTTATCGTCGTAGTGTCTCAGGCATAAATGTGTTTTTTTTTTTAATGTGGAAGGGAAATCCTGAAGAACCATGCAGTGTGTTAGGGTGAACAGCTCCCAGCCAGGGTCATCTCCTAGCAACTCCTCGCAACTTGAGGCCTGGGAGGTGCACTGCGGAGGGCGGTCTCCTCCCCAGGCTAACTGCAGCCTCTCTCTGGTAGTCTCACCGGCTGTCCATCACAGGGCCAGGGGCTGCACTGACTCCAGGCATATTGTGAAATTTGCCCTCTAGTATATTTTCTTCTTCATAAATATATTTTTCCATGATTCTTAGAATAATATTTGCTTTAGAGGGTAAGGCAGTGTGGAATAGCTAGTTCTTTAAGCCGACATTTAATATGGTAGCACCACCATGAGAGAGAGAGAGAGAGAGAGTGTGTGTGTGTGTGTGTGTGTGTGTGAGAGAGAGAGAGAGAGAATATTTGTGTCTTGATAATCCACCCAGCAAGGTGTGAGTACACTGATGTGTGAATGCAGACAGTCACGTCTTGTCTTTCCTTCCCAAGGTGCAGGTGCTGGGCTAAAAGTCTAATTTTTGTTTTGCAAAAAGGTTAGCTCTTTTCTTGCACTGTAAGAAAGGACAGAGCCTCTGTTAGGCAGGGAAAGTGACAGCAATTGCAGTCTTGTGCAGAGAAAATGCCCCTTTCCAGCTCCGGGCCCAACATGGATGCCCTTGGGACGAGGGCAGGATGCCCTTGGCTCAGTTTTGCTTATAGGTAGATTTTCACCAAGATGGACGCAGGAGACTCGAGCCTGTCACCTGCTGGAGAAATCACAGCATGCAAATCACTTGTGCTTTCCACCTTTTAGCTGGGTTAATGGAGGTATTAGTGGGTTTTTATTTGTAGAACTGGTCCTGTGCCTTTTTTTCATCTGCCTGTAACTTTTTGAGGGATACAGTTTTTTCCCCCTAACTAAAATCCTCTATTATTACTTGTTCTTTAAAAAAGGAAGGCAAATTGCTTAAAAGGGAAAAATACCTGTATCCCTTAACCCCACGGTGCCACCCCAGCTGGTTGGCAGGGCTTAGCAAACCTTTTTTTTTTTTTTTTTTTTAAGCAGTCCCCTGATGACCTGTGTCTGGGTGAGCTCATGGCATAGACCCTGTCGGGCCCACATGCTCCCCTCTAACCAAGTGGCCTTAGAGCAATAACTAAGCAGGTTTTGCTAAGTAACATCTCAGAGCAGAAAGAGGACAGTTCTACACTTCTCTTGAGGTGTCCTGTGGGCAGAATGAGTTGGATCAGTGTGCCCTCTGAGTGGCTTGGTTTTTCTGGTGCTCTATTTGTATTTTAAATTGTAACCTGGGGCACATAGTTTGCTCTGTGTCAGAACAGGGGATCTGGAGTCCAGGGATGAGCAGTCAGAAGAGGCAGATATGATTGAGCTAAGGAATTCAAGGTGGGATTAGGAGGGTAGTGAAATGGGGAAGAATCTGAAGCAAGCTGGGAGCTCTGGCTGACTGACCAACTCTTGCACCTCTTAGGGGCATTCACTGGAAAATTTTTCCAGATCTCTTGACGTCACAGCCTTGCCATTTGCCTACTACTGCTTGGATACAGAAGGCAGCGCTTAACCCTTGTCCTGCTGGGAGGGAGGGCGCCACGGGCGGCTGTGGTTCTGCCTTATGCAGCCTCTGCCCTCTTCCTTGTCTATGCTATGTCTTTTCCTAGTTTTCTTGTTCTTTTTTTTTTTTTTTGCAAGAGGAGAGAAAGGTTATGATTAAACGTTTCCGCTTGGTTTTGTGTGTGTTTTCCTTGCTTTAATAGTTCTGTAGTGGGATTGCCTGGACTTTTTCTTCCTGATGGCAAAGTTTTAAATGCATGGAGAGGGCCGCATGGCTGATTTCCACCCTCCGTGTCCCCTCCCCCGGCCCCTCCCACCCTGTGCACTTGTTCTCAATAACACTTTTGTTCTGTGTTTTGTTCCCAAGGACCCTCCATGTTATGCATGAGATCTGGACCTTGTTAGAAGTAGCCGGGGCGACTCTGTCAGGCATGCCTCTGACTTGATAACCTTGCAGTGCGTTTGTTCTCACTGCTGCATTCGCATGGAGTGGTTGGCTGGCAAAGGACTGCCCTGCCATGCCCGGTACAGCCTGTTACCATGCGGCTAATCGGGGAGATAATCCTTGTAAACCAGTAACTGATAGCCTTGTTCTCATCTGTGGGCTTCATGTGGTTTTATTTTTTTCCCCTTTTTCTTCTTTGGCAGCGAGTTCAGCCTTCCTTCTGGTATCCCGTTAACTATGAGAAAAAGAAAATGGAGCTCTTCGAGTCAGTCATTGCTCTGGTGTCAGAAGATGAAATAAAATGTGCTGGCAGTTTTTACTGTAGGATTCCCATTGTTTGCTTTTTTCCCTTGTCTTGTCCCCCTGAAAGAAAGACCATGTGTTCAATCAGTGACACACACCAAAGGTGGAGAAGCAGTGAAGAGGAGAGCATTGCTGGCCCAGCCTCCTTGCAGCATAAAAACTCAGGTGTCGAGTGTTTGGAAGAGCAGGAGCCTGGATTGTCATGTTCAGTGTCAAGGGATAAGCAAGGAAAGAAAGTGTATCTCCACGGGAGCACACTGTCATATTTTAAATGCATTGCATAAGCATGCAAATTTAGTGCTAGATTTTTATTGGTGATCTTCATGATATTTTTTCCTTTGGGAATGAAATTACTTCCCATCAGAATCTTGGTTGTAATTGAGCATTCCTCTACCTCCAAAACCTCTAAACAGAGAATAAGCTTCCTCTTCTACCGATGTTGGAAAAGGCAGCTTTGGAGAAGCAGGCTGGAGGGGAGCCGGGAAGGAAGCTGCTCTCATCCGGGAGCGTGAGGCTTTGGTTCTGAGCCATGACTCCATCACAGCCTTTTGTGTCCCTCTGTTCTCCCTGCAGTTAAGATCCTTCTGTTCTACGTGATATTCTATGGCTGCCTGGCCGGCATCTTCATTGGAACCATCCAAGTGATGCTGCTCACCATCAGTGAATTTAAGCCCACGTACCAGGACCGGGTGGCCCCACCAGGTAAACCCGCACAACTAGGATCTGTTTTTTTTAAAAAACCCTTTGAACATTATTCTGTAAGACAGTGTTCCACCAGGCCTGGAAAGAAAAAAACAGGAGCTCCTCTCTGCTGCAGACAGATTGCCTGCCCGCAGTGCAGGCGGGGCTGCGGGGGTGGCGATGTCTTTCCACAGCCCAGGCGTGAGGGTGAAGAGTCCACCCGCACCCAGCCTGCCTCTGGCCAGCCCTGTGCCGCCATGCGCAAGTCGGCCTGAAGGACCTGTCTCCCATGCCCGACCCTCAAGGGCTTGGTTAGTGGGGTCCTTTTAGGGCCTTCCCAGCTCTAACACATGCTTTTTTCTTTCTTGAGGGGCTATGATTCTGATAAAGCCTTTAGAAAAAGCACTTCAGCTCCTGTTTTAAAAAGCTAACTTATTTTAGGGATGACTTGAAGCCCTGAAATGGGTCATCTACTCACAGGGAAGAGCAGTGACTTCAGGGGTCCAGTCTGTCCTGCTACTGACTTCAGTTTGACCTTGAGGAAAGTCATTTTCACTTCTTAATATTTATGGCTATTTGTTTAATGAGCTTTATTTACTGGCTTTGTGGACCCTTTTTGTAGTTTAATTAACTGTCTCCATTAGCTCTAACAGCTTAAGTGAACAAAAGATTGTAACAGAAACTGCAGACTGTCACATGAGTCCCCTGGTGTGATCTGGGTGCTGCCAGTGAGGCTGAGCTGTGTCCACACCAGTCACTGCACACCATAGATGGCCCACTGCCTCCACGCCAGAGGCTGACAGGACAAGGCAGCAAGCAGCAGTAAACATGAATTTACGGTGTCGCTCTTTCAAAAACTCACTGTCCCAAGGACCTAGAGAGAGAAGCGGCATTGTACAACTTCCGGGTTCTCGCATATAAATGACCTTGAGGTTGCTCTGGGAGGTGGTGAAGACTTGTTGTCCTTGCTTTCCCTGGGCAAGGGCTTACTAACACTCGATGTAGGTGACAATCTTGAGGCTGTCTGCATGGCACTGAGCTGCCCAGATCAGGTGCTGCTGCCCATCGCAGGCTTGTCAGTCCACCTCCCTGGTGTGGGAAAGAAGACCTTCGGAATGGGGTGGTGGCACATGTCGTCCTACGGTGCTAAGTCATATGGTCCCCCACTTTGTAGAAAGCCTTGAGTGTTTCCAGATGAAGCTGGGTGGGAGATGGAAAAGAAAAGCACGTTAGGTGAGTCTGTACAACGCTTAACCTGTCCTGCTGCAGGCGTGCCTCTAGGAAGGGCTCAAGCAGACTTTCCAATGTGCAGAGAAATTGCGGGTCTTAAATAGACGTGTTTCACAGGGCATCTGTGCTAGCAAAGCACGGTGCCTCTTCATGCCCTCTCCTGTTAGAATTCTTACAATGGCATTAGTGACATAAATTTGTGTACATCTTTTATTGTGGTTTTGCTCCTTACAGGCTATTTATTCTTCAATCACAATGATGCTATTTTATAATCATTCTTGAACTTGAAGTCAAAGATGACCACAAAGCCAAGCAATTTCTTTTATTTCCCAGATTAAAAAAAAAATTCCTTGACTATATAGATTTTGGAGTCTTTGATAAACAGTTTTCTCCATGCTCTTTGCTAAAGAAGGAAATTTCACCTTTGAAAACAAATAGCCAGAACATCTGACCTTGTGAGGATTTGCAAATGACCTTGACTTGACCATGTGAGGTCTTCCAGCCCGCTGTCTCCCTGCCTGCCTCCCTCTTCCTTCCAGCACCCTGCCTAAAAGACATGTTCCTGGTACCTATATTTAGTGTGCCTGCAGCAGTTGGATGCACTGACAAACCCTCACTTCTCCAAAGCAGTGTTGGTTGCTCATCTGGGAAATATGTGTTCTTGTCCTTTGGTCTGAGTCCCAGGAAAGTCTTGGGTCTCCATTTCCCCTGTTGTCTCTTGTTCTTTGTCTTAGTAACTTATTTCTCTCTCCTTTTCTTTACTCATATCCTTATCAGGAGAGTCTAGACCAAGTTCTCCTGCCCACTTGCCCTGTGGGGTTTTCCTGTCTCTCTACAAGGGACATGACATTTATTTGAAAATAATGGTAACCTTCAAGGAGGGCTGGGGAGCACTGGCTGCCAAGAAGTGCCACCTTCAAAGGGTCACTGAAGGCCCTGCATGTCTAAGGGACTCTTACTGGACTCTCCTCTTGGTACCATTCAGAAAAGATTTTAAACATTTGTATTTTGGAGAGGCGACAGCAATTTCTTAAATGTGTAGACTGAACAAATATGTGGAAGAATATCCTGACAATTTTTTTGGCTTCAATTTCATGTCTCTAAACTTCCATTTTTGTAATGGTTAATGAGAGAAAACTCTTAAGTCGGATGTACCTAGGAAGTGGGAAAGGCTTCAAGGATGAGCTAATGCTGTTATCTGCTGAATGTGAGGCATGAAAACAGACTTGTCCCAACTGGGTGTCGAGTGTCCTCTCCACACTAGGATACCTTGTAATTAGATCTCTTCCAAATAGCATGTGTGGTGGTGGCCAAATTAAGCAGTGACCATTGTGCAGTGCTGGTGGGTCTCTGTGTCTGTAACACTGGACACACTGATAGGCCAAACATGCAAATCACAGAGAAAAGACTACACTACAAAATGCAAGTGAAGTTTCAGGAAAAATGGGTAACATATCCAGTTTCTCGGCCCTAAGCAATGATGGCTGTTAATGCATGTGACATTCCTTAAAGGTCTCACCAATGTGGGATGTTGAACAGAACTGCATACTCCCCCTGGAAGGCATAAAGCTATAGTCTCAGCTGAGATGTTGAGACATACTATATTGCTATTTTTGTAGCTCAAAAATGGTTGATGATTGGTAATTTCATGTTGTCTATCCTAAATACCAAAGCAGCCCCTGAAATCCTAAGCCCCGTTGCATATAGGTCCATGGTCACTGTGACCTAAGAAGGAACAGCAGTTGGAGCCGGATATCTCCACCACTCAAATACTTTATAGCTCAGCAAGCCTCAGTTTTTCTCATCTGTAAAATGGGAGCAATACCCTGTGTGAATAATGAGGTGATATATGTAAGGCAACTAGTAATTTATGGAGGAACACTTACTGGTGTCAAGGAATGTATGGCTGTGATGGCTGCTTTTCTCAGTAGCTTGCCCAAGCTGTGAGTTGTGATATGGCAGGGATTTCTTTGCTCACTTAAATTTTCAGGAAGTCAGTAGAACCTTAGCTTTCTCTGAGGAGTTTGGAAGGCGCTGGATTAAGAAACACGTTTTAGCTGGGCATGGTGGTGCCGCATGCCTTAAATCCCAGTGACTCTGGAGGCAAGGCAGGAAGTGACAAGTTCAAAACCAGCTTCAGCAATTTAGTGAGGCCCTGCTCATAAAATAAAAAGGGCTGGCAATGTGGCTCAGTGGTTGAGTGCCCCAGTTCAATTCCCAGTACCAAAAAAAAAAAAAAAAAAGAAAGAAAGAAAGAAAAAATGTATATAAAAATCATTTTTAAAGGATTGGAGAGAATCTGACTTTGCAGTGGCTCTGTAGTCTTCTTTTACCCACCGACACCTGCACAGCTGCCACCCTCCCGTCCACAGGCGGATCGCTCAGGAGTGCCCTGCCATAGTGATGGCAGCGTCTCCCTCAGTCTGCTAATGCATTTGGGTCTGGGGATGGGTGCTCTTCTTAGCTGTGCAGAGAAGGCTGAGCATGCACGTGCACAGACACCCAGTTTCTCCCACACACTCACGCGCACCAAGCCCTGTCCTGTTGACCCTGCTGGCCCTGCTACTCCTAATGCTGGTGTAATAGAAAGGTCTCTCCTTCCTACCCACTACTGCCCTTCCCCCACCAAGGTCACTTGGCTTTGCTACTGCACAATGAACTGAAGGTCACTATGTGTCAATCCTGGGTACAGGGAGGTTCCCAGGTGGCTTGCTTCCTGGAGTAGGTGTGAATGTACCCTCCTGTTCTTCCTCTTCAGGTTGTGGGTGACCTTTTGTTTTGCTCTTTATAAAGATGGCTCCCTGCTGACAGAACTCCTTTTGCAAGAGTCATATTCTTGGCTTGTTGGTATCAGAATGGGGCAGGAGAGGAGGGAGGATGCAGACCTGCAGACCACGGTGCACTATCAGCAGTGTCGATTTCGTCTTGTTTGTGAAAGGAAGACATCTAATCTGAAAAGCCATTAGGGTAGAAGTGGTCACAGTGAAATCTTAGCATGCTTAAGTAGAATTCCTGAGAAGTCATTATGTCAGTCTCAGAAAAACTTATTTTTTGTTTTCAAGCTACATCACACTGTATTATTTCTCTCACCTAAGATTTCCAAGGGGAAATTAGAACTATTTGGTCTCCTTAGACTTTGAAGGAATTGTTATTTCAGAGTGTGATAAGGTGTTTTTCTACTCTTTTTTTTTTCTGCTCTAACTAGAATCTGTTGGTTTATAATTTCTCCTCTAATACATATGCAGATCAACTGCTCTTGCTTTCCCTCTCCTCCCTTCCTGCCCCCACATGATCCTGCAGCCTGTCCCTGGAGATTGGATGAGGTGGCATTGATGATGGTTTCTAGAAGTTACTACCCAGCCTGTGGTTTGGTAAAGGGCTCACGGCCGGGAACTCTACCTTCGACAACTTACCTACCCATGTAGCTATTTCTTTCTAAAGCTAAGGCTACAGCTTGTAAGTCAACTCTTGGGTGTGCAGAAGCCTAATGATTAACCTAAAAATGTTCTTAGAGTTACAGAAAAATGGGTCCCACTCTGAACTCATTTGAAGATGAGTAAGTACAGCCGAGACTGCTGACAAGTAGGACCAGGTACCAGCCTGTGGGGGTGAGTGCTGGCGGAAGACAGCGCTGGAGCCTGAAGCTTCACTTAGGGATTTTTGATGGCACTAATCCAAGCAGGGCTGCAGTGTGGAAGGTGGTAGTGGAAGAGTGTTGGCCTCAGACCTTTAGGTGGGACAGTTGGTTCAGTGGTCCGCCCTAGGAACTGAGGAGTATGGGCTCACTCAAT